TTTCGCGTGACCTTGGATCGGGTAAGGATCGTCACCCCGATTCGGGCACCCGTGACCTACAAAAAATCGGGCTCACAGCACTAATCATGACTTTAATAATTATTTATAAACTGGTTAATGTCATACCATCTTTTTCCATCATCACTGAACTTGTAAAAGGAATTATCAAATAGATTGCAATATTTGAGACCATAACCAAGTGGATATCCTTCATTTCCGCACTGGAACTTTTTCTCCAAGCAATCTGTATAATAATTGCAAGTTTCCGAAAAATAGACATGTAATGTAGGGTTAGTGCAAGTATCAGTGTCGACTACTTCAAGACTGCCGTGAGAACCACGACCAGCATGAAGGTGTATAAAAGGAATTTCATCATCTGGAGGAGAATCATTATTATTGAGTGATTCATCATTGGGTGAATCATCATTTCCAGGAAGAGACTCATCATTGTTTGAAAGAGAATCATTCTCTTCGGAAAAAGAATCATCATCTCCAAGAGGATACTCATCAGGATAATCTTCGCTGTTAGAATAATCTTCATTGTTAGAAGGAGAATCATCAGGAGTGTCTTCGTTGTTAGAAGAAAAATCCTCATTGTTAGAAGGAGAATCATCAGGAGTGTCCTCGTTGTTAGAAGAAAAATCCTCATTGTTAGGAGAATCATTATTGTCAGGAGGATAATCGTTGTCATCTCTAGGGTAGAAAGTATTATGCACACTGTGAGCTACATAGTTACTTGCTATAGGAATACCATCATTAAAGTGATCCACGGGTGTATAATCTGAGGTGTTACTTTTAGTAGGAACAGCATCAGTAAAATTAGCGATCACAAATGATGAGAATATTAAGTAACAAAGAGTGATGATTAACTTCATGGTTTAATTCTTTATAACCAAGAGTCAAAAAAATTTTAATGAATGAATGTAATGTTTGAAAAGTTTAAAAAATTTAACAATGATCTATATTAATGTTCATACGTGTTATATAGTTTTTTAACAATCTTAGGTGCTTGGATTGTTTCTTGCAACATAATTATAATATATTACTGCCTAATATAAACAATACAGTAAAATAATACTACATGCACGTCGCTATTTTATTTTATTTCCTTTTCAGTTTTTCGAATATTATGACCAACGAATAAGTATCTTTAATATCTTTAATCTGTCTGACCATTTTTCGTTTTGTAATTTGAGGTATCGATATTTATTAGCCAATCAAATTGTAAAATTAATCCTTTATAAGATTATTTGTTAAATATCTAAGATCATTTCTATTGTTGGTTGTGTTTGTCCATGTGCTTATTTTTTGAATAGCTTAAACGTTACTCGTGGGCCAACAAGAGAAAACGTCGATGTTACACGACTGATCCTTCAACATATAAAAAAATCATTTTACAATACCAGATCATTCCGTTAGTACATGTTATGATTATAATCCAAATCCACTTTATTATAATCATAATATGTACTAGCGGAATGATCCGGTATTGCAAAATAATTTTTTTATATGTTGCACACGGTTCCGGTTTAACTTCCCGAAAACCATTTTTCTGAAATACCATTTCACCGAAGTCGTGATACTAAAATCCATTTTACTAGAAAGACAGAAATAGGTCTGTCATTTTACCGAAAATTAATTAACCGATAAATTTATTTATAGCTGTTCTCATAAATTTTGAGACAATTGATAAAAATTAATCGGCCGAATTCGATAAATTTTTTGAATTTGGTGTTATCGAATTACTATAATGCCGAAAATCCAATTCCGATAACACCGAAACCAAAAACTTATCGAATTCGACAGATCAAATTTTTATCAGTTGTCCCAGAATTTATGAGAACAGCTGTAATTGATAATTTTTTCACAGACAGATCATTTCACCAACATTTTTTTTTAAAAATTGCATTAACCATAATTTTAATTCTAAAACTGACCCTAACGACAATGACCAGAATTTCTTTTTCGGTGAAATGACTTTCGGAGAAATAAATTTGTCAGTTAATTGATATTCGGTGAAATGACACTGCTTATTGTCAAAGGTAAAACCGACACGCCAGAAGACCTGCAAAATGATTGTTATAGTGGCCTACTTGCCTAATCAGTAGTGCCCATGACGATCCACTTGAAACATGTGCGCCGGCCCCAAGAAAGCCATATGATAGCACACAAGCCTCAATGTGGGATCCCATCACCCCTTCCAAATAAAGAAAGGTCGATCTGAACTAACCCGTTCGCACCCTTACGACTGGGAATGAACGTTGACTCCACTTTATCCTTCTTTAGTTAAGTGTGAGGCAATGTCAAAAGGGTGTGATTGTAATAATTATGTTGGGTTCTCGTCCCAAGACGAATGATACTGAATCATTCTCATTGGTTCTATGAAGAACATGAGTTGTAACTAAGGTTGTGTCTATAAAAAGATCAAAGATTAAAAGAAAAATAATTGGAATTTAATTGGAATAATGAGAAAAGTTATGATCTTGTATAGTTTTTTTCATAAACAAATTCATTATAAAAAAAGTGAAAATTTCATCTCTTGAAGTTCAGTTCAAGTGCTATATAGTTTATAGTAATATAATAATACAATTCTATACTTCTATAGTACAGTATTGTCTTTATAAAATAATAAAAATTAATAAAGTTCTTTTGAACTCAAAATATAATGATTCTCTTTAAATTCTAATACTTATCTTGTAACACTCTCTAATGATTACCTTAACCTTTTGCCAAATTATAAAACTGTCTCTAATAATCATTAAGTAATATTATAAGATATAATCATTTTTCAAATAACAATCTATCACATTTATCTTATTTCTGAACTTGATTATCTAATCTCTAAAAATTTTTGATGATGTTGTAAGATCATAATGATCAAAAAACTTTGTTAATCAATATTTGAAATATAAAAAAAAAAGTAAAACTAAATTTGAAATTCTACTAATTTAATGCTAAATTATTCTACTATTTAGCTAATTATATTCAAGTTTCTTATTGAAGATTGAAATAAGAATAAGATTTATAAACATATAAGTATAAGAAATGATGTGTTCAGATTCATCAAGTTGTCTGTGTTCATTTATGAAAAAAAGAGAAACTATATTCAACAAATTATGCAAAATACCTTGTTATAAATTATTATAAAAAATTTTAGTCAAGTTAATAAAAAATAAATATATTAGTATAATTATAACAAAAAAAAAGAGAAAAAGAGAAGAAAAATTCAAAAACTGATATTTTCCTAAACAAAAATCCTTGTATCAATTATTAACAATAAGAAATATATACAAAAAAAAATTCAATAATTAAATATATTTAATAAAATAATAAACAAATATGAGATTTACAATAATAGTAATTATAATTACCTTATTATTAAAGTGCCTCTTTATAGATTTCACACTAATTCTAATATAAATAAGTGTGAAAATTTGATTATTAATTATCATTTTACATTTATAAGAATAATTAAAAAAAAAATAGAATTTTTTCTTTATAAATATCTACTAAAACCATAACTTACTAGCAATCTACTAATCAGAACTTCTTCCAATATTCTTAAAAACAATAATTTACTAAATTTTAATAATAATCATTTTTTTAAAAGTTGGCATACATCTGTAACCAGTTTTTTGTCAAGTAAAAATAATTGAATCAATAATAAAAAACAAATACAAGTCTAAGACCCAAATTTCTTCAAACTAATTTTATAGAAAATTGTTATTAAACTTAAAAAAATAATCAAAGAAATTGTTGCTATTATTAAACCTCTTATTTGTAAAACTAATCTAGTTTATATAAACATTTTTTATGATGATAAAGAAGACCTTTTTGATTAAATAGAAGACTTTAATCATACAGCTAATGATAACAATTAGTTTCTTGAACAAAAGATAAAGATAACTTTTAGTTATCTATATGAAGTTGCAAAAGTTAATATAATAGAGTAAAAGATAACTTAGTGTATTAGAATAACAAAATTCATTTAGATAAAAGTTTTATTCTATTATTTATACAATACTTTGTAATTTTTAAAAAACAGCATAAATAACAAGTTAATCTTAATAAATTTAAGCAATAGCTATCTAAGCAAATAGATTTATATATATACAAATTTAAGAAACTGTTATAAAAGGTAGATCTTAAAAATTAGCTTTTAAGACTGTACATTATATGAATATTTTTAGATGGCCTTAAAGCCAAGACTACTACATAATTAAATATTGTAAAACTTTATAGTCTGAATACTGTAATACAAGATGTTTGTAAAATCAAAACTAGAAAATACTACAATAAAAAAGATAAAAAAAATAAAGCACATAGTAGTAAAGTTATATATTAACTTAGCAAATACAAGTATTAATTACTAAATATAAAAGTTAATAATTGCATTAGCTATATACTTTGAAACAAAACTTTAACATATCAATAATCATAATACTAATAATACTTATGTAACTTGTTACAAGAACTTAGATATATTTTATGCAATTGTATATCAAAAAGAAACCAAAACCAAAATTAGTCTTAAATGCAAAATTAAGTAACACTTCAAGTCCAGACTCAAGTTTATATAAACTATACTGCATTATAAATTCAGATTATTTCTTATTTAAAAAATGTCAATTATATTAGTATAGTCAATGAACAAGATGAAAATGTTAATAAAAATAAAGCTTTTATTGCTTTTACTATATGTTATCAACTGTACACTACTCAAAGACCAAGTCACTATAGAAAAATAGCACTTATGCTAGCTAATAAAGAATTACATTTTAATCAGTTTTTTAAAATAGTGTCTACTATGACTTATGAAAAAAAACCTATCTGTAACAACTGCTTCAGTAATGTCTACTTCTATGACATCTACTTTTTTTAATATTTGCTCTAGCAGTATTTATACTAGTAGATCCTCTACTAGTATTCTATAGAAAAAAAACCTTTATTAATCAATAATCTAAAACTATATAACATTACACAAGATTTGTTAAACATAAAAGCTAATGTTACATATAACTAAATGTTGTAATACCTTAATCAGAAACACCATTTGATAAATGTATTAAAAAGATTTCTAATACTAATAGTAACCTAGAATTCTAAATTAGACAACATGAAAAAATAATTGCACAAGCCTTTATAATTATAAAAACTACTGCTACTTATTGTTATATTAGAATTAAAAGAAACCTCATAGTTGTTGTACTCAATTCAGATGTTACTATTAGCATAATATTAAATAAAATAGCAAAAAATTGCAGTAAAAATTAATAAATTTTCTACAACAATGGTTATTATTGCAAATAAAATCAAAGTAAAGGCTCTTAAAAAATAATTAACCTTAAGTTAAATATAAATAGTATAGTAATTTTAACTATTATACAAATGGTGTCTGTTTGCATATTAACAAAAGAAAATTGTATATGCAATGTCAGATTAAGTCTGTAAAAATATCTATATTTTATGAAGAAAAAATTTTACAAACACCCTAACCATAAAAGTGAAGTCTAAAAAATTAATGAAATTAGATGATTAAGACCCATTTGATGATTTCAAATTTCATGATAAATATTTAGATAAAGCTAAAGAATTTTTGACTAATCAATATAAAGAAACTAGAATTATACAAAAACCTGAAACTTGACTATTAAAGTCCTACTGTATATCTCTTTAAAGCTAAAAGTAACTCTGTAAAGGTAACTGAGAAAAAAGAAAATAGTGTAATCAAAAAATTAAAAAAAATTTAATAATAAAGTTTTAAAAAATGATCAAAGAACTATATAAGTAATATATTAAGTATAAAATAAACTTTTTTGCTATAAGTATAGATGATCTTAAACAAACATCAGTATATGTTTATAAAATAAATACT